ATATTTCCCGAGAAATATGCAAACCTTTGCTTGTGTAAAAAGATTTTTGTAATATCCACTTGTAATCTTATGAAATTTGGATGTTTTTAGTGAGAAATGATCATAAAACTCCTTTACTGACAACGCGAAGCGAAGCACTGACATGCGCATGCGTACTGCAATCTCATGGGATCCCTATGGCAGTGGTGACGAAATAGAATTGATCATCAGCAAGCCGGTCTCACTTTGATAGTCACATGACAGGCTGTAAACACAGAGTCTTTTATCTTCTCCGCTCTTCCATTCGTCGGCTTTTCCTCAGAAGAACTCTGTTCGCATTCCTTAGACGAGACCTTAGTAGTTTCAGAGCCTGCATAAGTTTGTATATAATTCGCTTGTGCTAAGATAGGTAGCTTGTTTGATAGACAATTCTCGATAGACTCGATCTCGATAGACAGTAAGATAAATTCTCGATAAATTTACGGTATCTCCTGAAATTCCTTTTTCGGAAAAACGCTCGTCATATTTTAGTGTTGCTATCCCACAAATGTGTGGATATTTTTAAGTGATTTGAGCGTATTTGTAGACGTTGAATATCTGTCTTCTTCCACCTCGCGTTTTACAGTCTCGCCGACTATTCTCGGTTTGCACATGACAGTCTAAAAAAATTCTAAAACCACAGACACACAACATTAAAGTACTAAAATACCTTGAAGAGCATGATAGAAGTTCTCTCTGAAAGTTTCACCTTTTTTTGCTGTTTATTCGTTGAGTTAAGTCTTATTAACGTTCAAAAATATGCCACGCAATACTGTCAAGCTACTAGTACTTGAAAGACGCCAAATTAACCTCGGAAAGCCTATAAATCTTAAAACAAGTATAGTCTCAGCATCAAATTCAATTTTTAGAATGATATTGTTAGAAAACTGAATTCGAAGCAAAATCATTAGTTTTGAGCTCATTTCGACACTCGGAGTTACTGTCCGCGTGATTGTGTACTGGATAGTACACCATCAGGGCTTTCCCATACATTCGTATAGGTAAGACCATATTCAAACGCTTATATTTTTGCTAAAAAATCGCAGTTTGACTTCAAACTTTGCATAACTGTTGGGAATTATATGCTGTTTTTGGCCATGAACATAAAAAATTCATTTAGATCTTAAAACACAGCCTTTTGTAGGTATTTCTTGACCTGTCTAAAACGCATTGAGCCGTGATAATCCCATACATTCTTACCAATTTTCGTTTGCTTGTATTTCTGTTAAAAAGCATTATTTTGGCACAAAATTTCGCAATAATACTTTAATTTAGATGTTCTATCGAGGACAATAATAATATTTCGCTAATTTGGCCTCTAAATAGAATATTTAGAATATCACGTGATTATGAGCTTGGGCTACCTGTGGACAATTTGTGACTGATAAGCGACAATGAAAAAAAAAGAAAAATAAGAAGCCCGAAATTTAAAATCGCGGTTCCACAGGAACCCCGAGTAATTAATACAACAAGCGAAACGCACTAAAGAACGAAATCATACTGTTCGACAAGTTTCAAACGCAGGAAGCACGGCATTTTGAGATTTTTCGACTGCCTGACGTTTAGTCCCAGAACTAAACATCAGGCAGTCTACTTTTCTGTGAAACGTCGTCGGAACAACTGTAATTTCAATTAACAGTACAAGAGAAATGGAATAAAGACCGAAATAAGGGTCTTGTCAAAAGTTAGCAGGGGGAGGGGAGGTGGAAATTGAAAAGTGGGTACTGGGAATAGGGTGACCAACCATAGTGGGGAAGTGAAATATTCTAACCCTACAGATATTAGACGGGCAAAATATCGTGACCTTCCCCGTCCCCCTTCAACCATTACCAGAAAAAATTTTCATTGTCCACAAGCATCCAGTGAATGGTGCAGGCCTATAATTGGACCATTCTTTCTTAATTTTCAAGGGATAAGGATTAGGATATTTGATAGGCAGTTGATTAGGACATTTGATTCATCTATTCTAAGTATTGCTTGCTTTATACATTTGATATACTTTGTTTGTCTTAGTGTTGTTGTGGCTATTGAATCAAATAAAACACTTTTTTTATCTGTTTATACTGTGAACCAATTATTTTTATCATTAACTGCCTATCAAATATCCTAATTATTATCACTTCATTGAAAATGAAGAAACAATGGTCTAATTATAGTTCCTGCATTATCTTTCACTGGCAGCTTGGGGGCAATGATAAATTGTTGTGGTCATGGTTGAAGGGGGATGGTCTGATGCAGAGAGGGTTAGTAAATTTCACTTCATCCACAACTCTAGTATGTCATCACCTTATTCCCAGTACCCAGTTTTCAATTTTCACCTCCCCTTCTCACTGCTAATTTCTGACAAGACCCTTATTTCGGTCTTTATTCCATTTCTCTTGTGCTATTAAGACTTTTCACAAAAAATAGACTGACTGACGTTTAGTTCTGGGACTAGGCCGTCAAAAAATCTCAAAGTGCCGTGCTTGTGACTATACAAACTTGTCGAACAGTATTATTTCGGTCTTTTTCACAACAAAAATCGACTGCCTGACGTTGAGTTCTGGGACTAAACGTCAGGCAGTCGAAAAATCAAAAAATGCCGTGCTTCCTGCGTTTGAAGCTTGAAGTATTATTTCGGTCTTGCATTTCCCTTGTTGTATTCATTGAAATTACAGGTGTTCCGTCTATTTTATAAGAAAACATTAGACTGCCTGACGTTTAGTCCTGGGACTAAATGTCAGGCTGACTGACGTTTAGACACTCCGTATTTTATTTTAATTTATTTTATTGTTTTTGTGTGTTTTTTTTCCCAGCACTTATTGCAATCGCTTGTTTTGTGAAGCACGTGACTGCTGCTGGGACAGTTTTGGTATGGTCTGCAGGTAGTGTTTATATCTTACACCGATACCAAGACGATCCTGACACGATGATACGTCTCCTACGCGATGCCATTTTTCCTGGTGCTTTGCTTACCGGTGGACTTATACGTGAACTACTACATGGATCCTTCAAAATTCTTATAGAGATTCAATCTCTAAAAGCCTTAGAACACCTATGGAAAAGGTAAATACTATGCATGGAAAAGATAAATGCATACTAATCTAGAAAATGATAGAGCTAAAATCACTTGTAGAGCTAGTCTTGTGATATTTTATTCGAACCCTTATTCTTGGTTTTCACATGACGCCATCTAGGCTACAAGAGTTAACTTTTTTAAACAATCTGAACGAATTTCTAAATTATATAACAAATAATATCTAATCGCTAATGGTTCGATGATAGATTGTAAAACAAACTTACAGCCATTGGAACGCGTTGGAACACGATGTTTTGTATGAAAATGCTTGATTTAAAAAAAAGTACCCATTTTATTGTGGATATTTTCCGTTGAAAAGGATAAGTATGTGCTGTACAATAAGAAAGTCGTGCAATTGTGGCGGCATATATTTAGAGCTACCACATCCAGTAAAAATTACCAATAGAGGTTTTTCGCTGACGTCACGTATCCCGTAGCAACMSCGATGGCCGCCATCTTGAAGGTCACATTGTCAATATAAACACATGTAGTTTTAACGATGTTCGCGAAAAAATCTTAATTCTCCTCACTTGATCCACCTTCAAAAGAGAGATGTCTACAAAAAATAGCATCTRTTAACAACATAGATACTTATGAAGTACAAAACAAGGACTGGAGCCCAAATATTAGCGATTTTCCGGCGAGTCACGTTCTTGGATCTCGTGACATATCTCGTTCTAAAGTCAAATGCTTATACTCTTGACCAATTTCGCAGATTGTAATTGTATGGCTAGCCTTGGAGAAACATGCACCCACGTAGGGGCTTTACTGTTTGCAATTGAATGTTATATTCGACACCGAGAAACAAAAACAGTCCCACTTTTTCTAAAAGCCTACTGGATTGTGCCCCCAACCCGTTATTAAGTAAGCTATGAACCTGTTTCTGAGATTGACTTTACATCTGCTCTTTCTCAAAGGAAAAACTTGTATATTCTAAGAAACACTGGGAAGAACGAAAAACCGTTTAGGTGCAATGTGTTTTTTCCTAAAATGACATTTGACTAGTTGATAAAGACATAACTTAATTTGAAATTCGATCGATCGATCATACGAAAAGATCACGGTCGTTCAGTGTAAGATTTTGGCGTTTRGTATAGTAACAAATTTATCCATAAACTTTGCTTTGCTTAAATTATCACATTAACAACATTTTAACTCAAAATAAATGACAATCGATCAAGTAATCTGAATGGAAATGGTCCGAACAGACTCGAATGTGCTTACTCGGCGTCCATTCTTTCCGACATAGGTTTGCTAACCATTTATCGCGTCTCTTTGACGAAATATCCATCGCTTTTTCACCTTGATGAGTAATTAGACTCGGTAAACAATAATAAAACTTTTTATTGCGATTTGAGCGATTTGAACAACCAACAACGGAGCAAAAATCGACCATGTTTTCACTAACATCTGACTGTTACAGCTTGTTGGTTGACCTTCAAGATGGCCGCCAACACGTTGTCAAGGAAACGTGACGTCACACGAAAAACCTCTATTGATTCTAACAGTGATTGGCTGTCGACGACATTTACCGCGCACCTTGTTGACAACTGACGGAGGGTCAATTACAATGCGGTCATAAAGTGCATGTGAATGAACAGTCAAGAAACTCAAGTAAATTCGAGCACAAAATCGAGTGACAACTTAGAAAACATTTAGTCAACTTAAATTTTATTCAGCAATTTCTGAATAAATGCTAGTGCAATCAAAACAGGTGAAGTGTTCAGTAGATGTGCATACTAGTAGTTTTTCCATATAAAGCATATTCCAGTCTCCTACAGAAACTGGCATGATGAACCTCCTGAGAACATTTAGCGGCATTTAGCGGTAATATTTACCTCATCCCGTAAAAATTACTCTTAGTTTTGATAGATGATTGGCTGCCTTGTGACAACT